GACGGACAAAATATAAACTTGAATTAAACCATGTAATTCGAGTAGCCGTAAACAAACACGTTTTCGGGGAAACCAAATTCACCTACCTTCGCGTCATCTCGACGTGCTCAAAGAAAAACTCGGCAGGACGAAACAAAACTTGGCAGAACGGAAAACAAGGAATCAAGCTACCTTTGGAAACAATTGCTTTTTATTCAGATTCACTTGTGGCGCGAAAAATAAACGCTGAACAAAAAGTGGCCGAGAACTGGGCCCGGCCGAGAACTGGGCCCCACACTGTAGTGGAAACCGCATTTTTTTTTTCGTGTTAAGCCATTGTAGAAAGACATTGGAACTCACTTCCGTTTCTGTGTTCTAATGATGAATGAAAATGAATCGAGAGTTCAGCTTTTGCACGACCGAAATCGGTTTAATTTTGCTAAAGTTTGATGAGGCTTTTAGCTTCAGCATGTTCAAGTTCTATGCCTATCCAATGATTGAAGAAGTTTTTTAACTTTTTTGTGTTCTATGATGATTGAAGATTTGTTTTTATTCTGATCAGTCTAAACAGATTCCTTACGATTAAAAATGTCGGTTTAAATATAACTTTGGAAGATAACTGTCGATAGTTCCATTAATTTTATGTACCATAAGGGGAAAGTGCTTTCAAAAATGTTTGCATTTAGAGATATCTGGTTCATTTCTTGTGTTGAGCTCAAGCTTTAATCACTGAATGTCGCTGTGGTTTTGACACTTTTGTTGGCCGGAATGTATAGTATATACAGTTTCACAGCTAATACATACAGTTGTTCAATTAACTCAATCCTATTTTTTTTGTTTCTAGCTTCTCTGAAAGTCACTTAAGAGGCATGTTTAATTAAGGAGACATACTTATTGCAGCGAACATGAAAAAATGTTATTATGTAGTGTTTCTCTATTTGGAACTGAACAGCTTGCCTGAGAAAACTTAAGACAACTAGTTATATGTATACATAATTGGCTCCCAGCATTTTTTATATAAATATGCTTAAGTCCTCTTGAATAAACGGCAACAATTTATGTTCGAGCCTTACGGTTATAATTCACTTATGGCAATATTTAACACAATAAGATATTTAACACAATTTTCAAGGGAGCTGGGTTCTTATGATTGTAAGCCACCTATTCTTGATAAACCACGGTATAAACGTTATCAGACACTGACTATCATAGGGGTGGTGAATGATAAATGTGAGACTTTGCGAGAAGGCGAGACGAGCGTTTCTCTTTGCGAACCCGAGACATGTTAAATTTTTAAAATTAGGAGCCCGAGACTTCAAAATAAAGTGTTTTAAATGCGACATATCCTCGAAACATTTTAAAACAAGCGAAACTGAAGCAAACAAATCGGTACTTCGAGACTTTCCTAGTCTTGAAAAGAAACTGTGAGACTGTGGGACAGCTCTGCGGAAAATTCGAGAAAATTCACCACCCCATATCACGAAGGAGTACCAACAGTGTCATTTCCACAGATCCATTGCCGACCATCCTCACTTCCTGACAATGAATTCTTTCCATTTATGAATTCTTGCTAGAAAGATCAAACCATTGTTTAGGTACTTGTTTAAGTTTCTCTAAAGCAGAGCTATGCAGGACGGTTTTCCAAGTGTAGCAGGCCCACAATACCACGAGCACTGCGCTCCAAAAAAGAGATTCAATACTATTGGGTCGGGTTTTCAAATCCATTTTCCTGTTCGTCATCTGCTCTTAAGCTGGAATTCTGTGTTTTCAACTGTGGCAATCGAACATTATCTATCGTATTCTTATCTTTTGAACGCGCTTGTACAGGTGGCCTAAAGGCCTTAAAAGGACCAAGGATGCTAGGAGGACCTAGTCTGTTTGGATCCGATGAAGATAACGACATCTGCAGATGGCCTGATTTCGGCTCTATCGTGGGCAGCTTTAACCTCTCTGTATCTCTATGCGCATCATCTACTTTTGATAAAACTATATCAGGCACTTCAAAGCGGTCTCTCTCTCCAATACTACCAATAGTCTTCCGCCTAATTACTGGTGCAGGACTGCTGTTGTATTTTTCTTCTACTAGTGGTGGTAATACGGATAAGGCATTAAGAGATGATTTCCTTTCTTTTCGCCGCTGATTTTTAAACCTTGCAGAGATTGGATTGTTCTCTGGGCCGCTGTTTGTTGTTTCATCGTGTCTTGATGTACCGCTCGCGTGCTCAGCAGGTGACGAAAATGAACCCAAACTTTCGATTATGTAACTCTCGCCATCAACGCTATCGTTGTTTTCAACAGCGCATCCTAAACGCAGTTTCTGAGGCAATGGCAAAGTATCATTACTGGAGAACTGTCGACAACGTTCTTCCCAAGCTGTTAGTTTGTACAAATGAAGGACTTCTTGACCGTTGAATTCCAAAAAGTCTTCAAAAGTTTGCGAGTTTTCTTTCTTGCTATTAAAGAGAGGATTGCCGAAGCCATTGTTTCCATACTTCGTACTAAACACTTCTGATTCGACATGATCGTTGAGTCGTTGATTTCCACTTGATGGCTTCCTCTCTCCATTCTTCCCATAGCCATTCGAGAAATCATTCCACATTTTTAGAACAACTGCAATGGTCTCTGACAAAAAATGAACTGATATCACATCGACATATCAACTAGTTCCCTTGAAAGCGAAACGCATTGAAATATTACTATGGGGTCGTCCACTTCTCTTAAGAAATCATACCACGATCAAAATGACGTGGACTGTGGTTGGCATAAATAACATGCAGTATTTTTGCAGCGACAACACTGGTTCCTGCCACATCCGCCATTAAGAAACGAAATCCAACCGTTCCTGCACGAGATAAGATAGTTACAAGTGCTTTGCATTGCGTAATCAAGTGCATAGGCCTTCTTAAACACCTATCAGCTTATTGCATTGTGTTTATTATCTCTTCGGTCTGAAAGCCAGACGTATCATACACGTACAGGACCAAAATAAATATAATGTTGATAATAACAGACTGTATTTGCTTATACAAATCACAGCCGCAAAAGTGTTAATTTTGGTTTGAAACAAAGTTTCGTTTAATGTCAACTATCATACTGAAACCATTTTTGTGTTTTAATTATTTCATCGGTTAAACTCAATGGGACGTTATAAAGAAAATTCGCGTTCAATGCTGAATTATTTATTATGTCTGGTTGCGAATATAATCGCGAAAATTCATCTTTCATGGTGTACAACGTGTCCGAAAAAGAACTCTTGTTTGCCTTATCAAATTTTAAAAAGCGTCGTTTAAAAGTTTCCTGCTGCCCAACTTCTTCTTGCAAGACACTATACTTTTCTCCACAACGAATACTTCAATAAATTTTAAATTATAAAGAAACAGTGGAGATGGTGGCATCCAAAAGCGCCTGAACACCATTCTAGAGATACACCCATGAACGAAATAAGGGACTTATAAATGATATACAATATATCAATTACAACAATTTTTGTCTCTTTGTCACCAGATTTTCTCTCTTCTGTCAGTTGAAGGAGCTATTTACTGCGTTAGACGCCCCCCAGTGCTTTTTTTCAATTTAAATTTGTTATCGTTATGTAATTCCAATCTCGATTAAGATCCAGATTCTTCCAAGTGAAGTCAGTTATAAAGAATGCTGGGAAACACGTGAGAGGGTTTGAAAGCTGATCATATGATTACGGCCACTGCGTCAGCAAATTATTGGTCCGAAGACTATGTGCACTGTCCCTCTCTGTTTATTACACTCAATACTAGGCTTCTCAACAACGCCTGAACGGCGTCTGACAAAATTAATAAATAGCTGTGAGTGCACGAGAGCGTGTGAGCTTTTTGATTTCATCCTGCTCCAGACATCCTGTGACACCTATAAGTCTTCCATCTGATTAGTTATCGATAGATTCCACAAAGTTTGAATTAAGCCACCATCTCTGACTACATTTATTTGTTGCAATTATATTCCATTTTATTTGAGCTTTCCCTATTTTTTTTTTTTTGTATTTAAATTTTGTTTATTTAATCTTGCACTCATATCACAAAGTGACTTTGGAAGAATCCAATGTAAATTTAACCTTTGTTCGTGTGCTACTTGATGGTAAACGAATAGCAAATGTAAAATCTGTGGTCGTATTGAAACCTCTATTTTTAAAACAGAAAGAGCTTCTCATTTATTTGCTTGGATTAAAGTTTGAATAATTTAATTATGTTTCCTTTATTCAGCGCACAATCTATACAAGCCCGGCTGCTTAATTTTTTCAAATCCGCACGTCTTGGATAAAACCCACTACCGCGTTCAAAGATTTGTCCATGCCGTCAGCACCTTTCCTCACAAAAGCGTCACTTCAATGTTGGCAATAGCTCGTCAAATGTTGAAAAGAAGGCTCTTTGGTTGCTCTTGGTTGTTGACATCACTGAATCTGAAAAGACGTCCTCTAAGTCTCTTGTGTTCTCTGTCCCGGCATTCCTGGTTTCAACTGAGGATCTGGCTGTAGTAATACCTGCAAGACATTAAAAATTTTTGTGCTTCTCAGTAATTGTTTTATGTGTAATTGGGAATTGTCAATAATTAGCAGGAAAATGGCACTTAACTTAGCATAACACAGTTACTGAAATGTTCTAGTTAGAAAACTGGGAAATTTTCTAAGACGTGTGTAACCATCAGTTATCAACCCCATCTTGTAAGCCTCATGTATACGTCAATAATATAGACCTTTTTACTAAGACGGCGGCCATTTTGAACTCTGTTGTTTGCAATAGCTATTATGGGATGCTCAGGGGGTAGATTAGTATGTATTCCCACAGTAGCTATTTGAAACAACGGAATTCAAAATGGCCACCGTATCGGTAAAAAGGTCTATTATCATTCATTTTTAACCTAATAACAGGCAGACAGCAAAAAGCTGGAAGTATCTTTTCTAGACCAGTTGAACGATATATATTTTTTGGTCATTTTAAAAAACGTTGTTAACGAGGTACGAGATTTACTCTCTGTAAGTACAGCACTTCACCAGGGACACTAGGAATACATTTCCAAAATATTCAAAGTTTTTGATGGTTTTACTGATCCTTGCCTGCAGTTGTTCTTACTTCTGACTAAATCTTACGGCGCAACGGTACGTTCAACTGACTAAAAAGATGAATCCATCCCTCGCTCTATTGTGACTTATTTGTGAACTACAATGGAAAATTTTGCGTTTACTTGAAGGTAATTTTGTGCAGCGCAAAAGTATCGCCATGCAATACCGCTATTAAGGTTTGAGATACTTGTATGACTTTCTTGTGATTTTTTTCTCTGTTTTCTTTCCTCATTCCATACTTCCTTTCTTTCTTCCTTCAATTTTTGTTTTAATGTATATAAGTGTTGTCTTTCGTTTTTTCTTTGTTTCTCTGTTTTTTTTTCTTTTTCGAGCTTTCTTTCTTTTTTCCTTTCGTTTTGTCATTTTTCACTTCGTTTGTTTGTCTATACTTTGTTTCGTCAGTTCCATCGTTTGCATGTTCTTTTGTTCCATCGTTTGCACTTTCTTTCGTTCATTTGTATTTTGCTCTATCGTTTAGTTCTTTTGTTTTTCTTTACTTCGTCACGTTCCTTTATTCTTGTCATTTGACCTTGGTTCTTTATGTAACTCTTGTATCGGCCGCGAACATTTAGGGCCTCTACTGATAGCAGTTTTATTTATAGAGCTGACAGAGTTACCCTGAAAAAATAAAGGTTTACCATTTAGCACACTCTGATGCCACCCACTGTATTGCCAAGTCTGTCAATCAGTCAATATCTGCAAAACATGCATTGTGTTCCTGTATAACCCCCAGGCAGGCGCGTGTTTCGACATGAGAAACATGGCCAAGCCGGCGTTTACGACTTTACCCTATTGTAATATATTACAAATGAAGTACCTCGTTGTAAGACAAAGTAGGAATATTCCATCCTTCCTTAAACTGCATTTCAAAACAAGCAAGCTCGGAACTTATTTTTTGAGGTTTTTGTTTCATTCGATATCAGTCGAGATAAACGCAACTGATAGCAACGAATAAATTGTATGATCATGTAATCAAATTCTCCTGACTAGAACCATAACAACTGTATGTACACTAGTAAGGAGGACTTATATCTTGGCAGGTAAATAAGATAAGAACGAAACTTTTGTTTTGCAGTATTAGCCTACGAATGCCATGTAATCACCTCCCACGGTGTTCCCCTACCCCCTGCCCTCCATGCACAAAAGCCTTAAACGCGAAATAAGAAAAACGAAAAGTAACCTCGGTTTTCTTCGTTAGGAACAACTGTACTGGCAAAGCAGAGATTCTTAGAAAACTATTCGGTAAGATTCGGAGAAAAACAAGCCGATATTTATTGACCATGCTTCTGAGGCGTTCGGAATTTTATCATGAGCGTAAAACTTGCAGTCAATATAAGATGAAAACAATACCTCACGGCACTCAGAAGAGAAACCTAACAATAGATACTGATCCACCGCAAACAGCAAAACAATATGGCGAAAAGAAACTCATTGCAAGAATAAAGCAAGAGCTTAATATCTCTTCAAATCTATTTTCACACTCAATAATGATAGCCTGGTAACTTCTTAAGGTCGTATTACAGGCCCTGCTGAGTTGGTAGTCACTTCGCGATGCACGAGTTTGCTTGTATGCTTTTGACGAGCCTCAGTGTCAGTCTTTTCATACTTTGATCCACGTTTTAAAGTTATATTTGTCGTGCATACTTTTTATCTGGTATCTTTTTTGTTTTAGAAAACTTTGAAAGGCTATTAAAGCTCTTGAATTGACGCTTTCTTACACGCTGTCCACCTTCCACATCCACTGTTACTGTTCTATTATATAATGTATTTTTTGTTTCCTTTAATAAAGTTGTATCAAAATCTCTTTTAGCATGTGACTTTTAACTTAAATTCTTCTTTAATTATTTTTATAATCTTAAAAAATAGTTTATGGAGATCAATATAATATAAATCGTAGACAATTTAAAGAACCTAATCAGAGTATATTACGCTGTTTTTCTTTCCATTCACATGTGTTTAGTGCCACTCACAACAAAGGTTGTGCTGAATCGTTGTAAACAGATAGCTTGAATGAAACCCATTGATGTCGTAATTCATGATCGCTGTTCATGAGGACATGCTGTTCTAAAATGTTTCATCTTTCATTGTCAAAACTGGATCTATATTAATTTGAACGTACAAAGTTGACCGTCCTTATATAAGGATTACTCTCAGACAGATAGAATATTCCAGGGTTAAGGATACGTTTGGCGAGTATCCAAGCAGATGGAAAACTCTCCTTTGTTGTAAATGACCTCAGGATTTAGCTTAATTTGATTTTAAAGACATTTCAATCTTGACTGATCGAAATCGTTTAAGAAGACTTTTTGTTGTTTCTTGTTTTCAATTTTCCTTACAACTACATTAAAGCCACACTCCGGCTTTTACCGGATCCAGCCTTTTCAGAGAACGATTGACTCTTTATTACGCTTCTTGATCGCTTTAACATTTAATTGAACATTTTAGCATACATCGGCTAAAAAATTCAAATCGAATCACAAAGTTTTTTTTCTTTCAAATGCAACAGCTGCTACTACTAATTACTGAGGCGTAGAAAGAGGTATGGACATTGATCTGTTGTGAGTGTTCAACTCAAATCAGTCGAATCAAACTGCCAGATTGGAACAAAAATTTATGTATCACTAAGTTGCTTTTTCTAGTGAACAGAGATAAGGAATCCTTGCGTTCAAGAAACACCACGCACAATGATTATGCAAATATATAAACTATCATCTCAGGGCATCAGAATTGTTCAAGAGTCTCTTAAGAGGCAATTTACAATTTCCCCCTTACTTCCCGTCTCGAGCGCGTGCAAACTCAAGAGAGTGCACATTCAATGGCCGGTAATTGTTCGTCGTTCTGGTAAATCAATATGTTTTCACCAAGCGAAGAGGAAAGTCACTTAATATTTGTCAATGGAAAACGATGGAGAATTGAAACTATTTCAAGAAAACAATGTTTCTTATTCGAGTCAAAAAGGGCCAAAAAAATAAACAGTTTAGAAAATTGTTAGCGCTTTACCTCTTCTTAGTAATCCTTTAACTGAGTATTTAAAGCTCATTTCCTCGGCTAGAGATCAACTCCTTTTGTGTACGGAGTATGTTGTTTGCAAACGTCCATTAAACAAGTACATTGTACTTACAATCGGTCTCCAAGCCGTGCTCGCGGGCGCCATACGAAGCACGTGGCCTTTCCACCTGGTTAACAATGGCGATTGTGTTCGCCACGCGCAACATGTATCGTCGAAACAAAACCATCTAATAACGATTAATTACTTTCGCTTAATTATTCACACTAAGTTTCTTGAAGTTCCGGCAGAAATCCGCGGCAAATAAAACACTTTAGTCGACCCACCACCTGCTACACTCCGCGCGAGGGCGAGCTCTGATTGGCCTGCGACAGTCACGTGACAACACAATAAGTCAATTTTACTCAAAGTTTTGAATTCTGGGTTTTTGAATGTTCGCTCCTTGTCAGAACGCATTTGGCCATTGACTATGTGGAGTCGGCAAGCCAGATTTCGTCGAGAACGATCTGCACTTGCCGGTTGGAATTCCCCCTTGATGGGGCTTCGGCGAGCAGTATGTGGAATATACTGAATATTGTGTGTTTTCTGACGATTTACATTAATGGCAAGGCAGGTAAATTTGAACAGGGGATTTCTGGTCGATTTTTCTGGTGAGCGTGAGTGTACACCCAGTGTTGTTCATACCATAACCAGTGACCGGTATTTACTTGGTGTTTTTCCAGCCGCCGGACGCTACAAACGACTCAAGTCACGGGAGGGCCGAGTCAATAACTGTCCACCAAGACTTGCGCCGCAGCTTTTTAAAACCCACTGTATCAGTTCCACATGTGAGAATGACAAAGCGTGCAAGACAAACGAGATCTGCTCGTGCACAGAACACTGTGGTAAAATCTGCATAGATCCAAGTAAGTCCAAATACTGAGTTTTGTAAACCTGTGAAAATTCACTCGATCGTTCGATCGCCGCGCATCGCCTACGCGTTTTTTCTTTTTCTTTTCTTTTTTTTTTTTGTCATCCAGTTCTGCATGCATTCAGGAAGAAATCATACATACAGGGTGTAGAATAAACTCATTTTAGAGGAGCTAGCTTGCCTTATCAGCGCGATAAATTAATATTTTACTAGCGCATACGCCGAGTAAAACCATCTCGTGCTCAATGATGGGACGTCGCGTCATCTCAATCTGCTCATCAATCGATTAAATCTAAGCAATGATTTGCTTGCCAATCCAAGAAACGCGAAATTAATAAACGCTGACGTTTATTCTCTACTCTTTCTGGATCGTTAACTTGCACAGTACTGAAGGTCTTAATCGGTAAATAGCTCAAGTGGAAAGGCATCCTATGGATTTATCTTTGCATTTGCAGTTTAACCTCATTACTGCGATTTCAAGGAATGACCCACCGGTCGTTACAC